AAATTCCCGAAAATTCCCACCTGAAATTCCCAAAATTCCCACCTGAAATTCCCGAAAATTCCCACCCGAAATTCCCGAAAATTCCCACCCGAAATTCCCGGAATTCCCACCCGAAATTCCCAAAATTCCCACCCAAAATTCCCGAAAATTCCCACACGAAATTCTCGGAATTCCCACCTGAAATTCCCGAAAATTCCCACACGGAAATTCCCAAAAATTCCCACACGAAAATTCCCAAGAATTCCCACAAGAAATTCCCGAAAATTCCCACCCGAAATTCCCGAAATTCCCACCCAAAATTCCCAAATATTCCCACCTGAAATTCCCGAAATTCCCAAAAATTTACACACGGAATTCCCAAAACTCCCAAAAATTCCCACTCAAAACTCCCAAAAATTCCCACTCAAAATTCCCGAAAATTCCCACGCAAAATTCCCGAAAATTCCCACGCAAAATTCCTGAAAATTCCCGAAAATTCCCACCCGGAAATTCCTGAAATTTCCAAAAATATTCCCACCTAAAATTTGCAAAATTCCCGAAATTCCCAACCAAAATTCCCACAGAGAAATTGCCGAAATTCCAAAAAATTCCCTCCCAGAAATTCCCCAAAATTCCTAAAATTCCAGAAACTCACGCCCAGAAATTCATGAAATTCCCAAATATTCCCACCCGAAATCTCCGCCTGGAAATTCCCAAAATTCTAAAAATTCCTGTCTGGAAATTCCCAAAATTTTCTGGGTCTATTTTGACCATTTTTGGGTCGATTTCGGCCATTTTTGGGTCGATTTTGGTCATTTTTGGGTCGATTTCGGCCATTTTTGGGTCCATTTTGGTCATTTTTGGGTCCATTTTGGTCATTTTTGGGTCCATTTCGGCCATTTTTGGGTCGATTTCAGCCATTTTTGGGTCGATTTCGGCCATTTTTGGGTTGATTTCGGCCATTTTTGGGTTGATTTCGGCCATTTTTGGGTCGATTTCGGCCATTTTTGGGTTGATTTCGGCCATTTTTGGGTCCATTTTGGTCATTTTTGGGTCGATTTCGGCCATTTTTGGGTCCATTTTGGTCATTTTTGGGTCGATTTTGACCCATTTTTGGGTCGATTTCAGCCATTTTTGGGTCGATTTTGGCCATTTTTGGGTCGATTTCAGCCATTTTTGGGTCGATTTCAGCCATTTTTGGGTCGATTTCGGCCATTTTTGGGTCGATTTTGGTCATTTTTGGGTCGATTTCGGCCATTTTTGGGTCGATTTCGGTCATTTTTGGGTCCATTTTGGTCATTTTTGGGTTGATTTCGGCCATTTTTGGGTCGATTTCAGCCATTTTTGGGTCGATTTTGGCCATTTTTGCGTCGATTTCGGCCATTTTGGGGTCGATTTCAGCCATTTTTGGGTCGATTTCGGCCATTTTTGGCTCTATTTCGGCCATTTTTTGCCCTATTTCGATCATTTTTTTGGGGATTTTTTTGGGATTTTTTGCATTTCCAGGTCCCCCCTCACCTGTCGCGCCCACCTGGGCAGGTGATGCGTCCCAGGTGAGCGCTGGTGCAGGTTGAGCTGTGCCACCTGTGCCCAGGTGTGCCCAGGTGCATTTTGACCCATTTTTACCCATTTTTTGCCCTATTTCGGCCATTTTTTGGTGGGTTTTTTCAGGATTTTTTGCGTTTCCGGGTTCTCCCAGGTGCGCCCCTCACCTGTCTCGCCCAGCCGGGCAGGTGATGCGTCCCAGGTGAGCGCTGGTGCAGGTTGGGCTGTGCCACCTGTGCCCAGGTGTGCCCAGGTGTGTTTTGACCCATTTTTGCCCTATTTCGGCCATTTTTTGCCCTATTTCAATCATTTTTTTGGGGATTTTTTTGGGATTTTTTGCCTTTTCGGTTCCCCCTCACCTGTCTCGCCCACCCGGGCAGGTGATGCATCCCAGGTGAGCGCTGGTGCAGGTTGGGCTGTGCCACCTGTGCCCAGGTGTACCCAGGTGTGTTTTGACCCATTTTTGCCCTATTTCGGCCATTTTTTGCCCTATTTTGACCATTTTTTGGTGTTTTTTTCGGGATTTTTTGCGTTTCCGGGTTCTCCCAGGTGCGCCCCTCACCTGTCTCACCCACCCAGGCAGGTGACGCGTCCCAGGTGAGCGCTGGTGCAGGTTGAGCTGTGCCACCTGTGCCCAGGTGTGCCCAGGTGTGTTTTGACCCATTTTTTGCCATATTTCAGCAATTTTTTGGTGTTTTTTTTCAGGATTTTTTGCGTTTCCGGGTTCCCCCAGGTCCCCCCTCACCTGTCTCGCCCAGCCGGGCAGGTGATGGGTGCCAGGTGAGCGCTGGTGCAGGTTGGGCTGTTCCAGGTGTGTTTTGACCCATTTTTGGCTCTATCTCGGCCATTTTTTGCCCTATTTCGGCCATTTTTTGGTGTTTTTTTTCAGGATTTTTTGCGTTTCCAGGTCCCCCCCGGTGCGCCCCTCACCTGTCTCGCCCAGCCGGGCAGGTGATGCGTCCCAGGTGAGCGGTGGTGCAGGTTGAGCTGTGCCACCTGTGCCCAGGTGCGTTTTGACCCATTTTTACCCATTTTTTGCCCTATTTCGGCCATTTTTTTGGGGATTTTTTTCGGGATTTTTTGCGTTTCCGGGTTCCCCCAGGTGCGCCCCTCACCTGTCGCGCCCACCCAGGCAGGTGATGGGTCCCAGGTGAGCGGTGGTGCAGGTTGAGCTGTGCCACCTGTGCCAGGTGTGTTTTGACCCATTTTTGGCTCTATTTTGGCCATTTTTTGCCCTATTTCGGCCATTTTTTGCCCTATTTTGATCATTTTTTTGGGGATTTTTTCGGGATTTTCTGCCATTTTGGGTCCCCCCTCACCTGTCTCGCCCACCTGGGCAGGTGATGCGTCCCAGGTGAGTGGTCGTGCAGGTTGAGCTGTGCCAGGTGTGTTTTGACCCATTTTTGGCTCTATTTCGGCCATTTTTTGCCCTATTTCGGCCATTTTTTGATGTTTTTTTTCAGGATTTTTTGCGTTTCCGGGTCCCCCCAGGTGCGCCCCTCACCTGTCTCGCCCAGCCGGGCAGGTGATGCGTCCCAGGTGAGCGCTGGTGCAGGTTGAGCTGTGCCAGGTGTGTTTTGACCCATTTTTGGCTCTATTTTGGCCATTTTTGGCTCTATTTCAGCCATTTTTTGCCCTATTTCGATCATTTTTTTTGGGATTTTTTCGGGATTTTTTGCCATTTTGGGTCCCCCCTCACCTGTCTCGCCCAGCCGGGCAGGTGACGCGTCCCAGGTGAGCGCTGGTGCAGGTTGAGCTGTGCCACCTGTGCCCAGGTGCGTTTGGACCCATTTTTACCCATTTTTTGCCCTATTTTGGCCATTTTTTGCCCTATTTTGATCATTTTTTTGGGGATTTTTTCGGGATTTTTTGCTTTTCCGGGTTCCCCCTCACCTGTCGTGCCCAGCCGGGCAGGTGATGCGTCCCAGGTGAGCGGTGGTGCAGGTTGAGCACGCCGACGCTGAGCGCCACCACCAGCGCCAGCAGCACCAAGGTGACCGTCAGGTATCGGCCGATGAGCGGCACCTGCAGCGACGTGGCCGGAACCTTGTCGGCCAGGAGCAGCAGGAACACGGTCAAGGTGAGCAGAGCAAAGAGGGACAGCGACATCCTCTCACCTGGACAGGTGAGACATGGACAGGTGAGACAGGTGGGACACAGGTGAGGTCACCTGGACAGGTGGGACACAGGTAATGGACAGGTGAGGTCACCTGGACAGGTGAGACACAGGTGAGACATGGACAGGTGAGATCAATAATGGCACAGGTGGGACACGGACAGGTGAGACACACGTATGACACACACGTGACACAGGTGAGACACAGGTGAGCTCACCTGGACAGGTGAGACATGGACAGGTGAGATCAATAATGGGACAGGTGGGACACAGGTGAGACACACGTATGACACACACGTGACACAGGTGAGACACAGGTGAGCTCACCTGGACAGGTGAGACACGGACAGGTGAGACACACGTATGACACACACGTGACACAGGTGGGACACAGGTGAGCTCACCTGGACAGGTGGGACAGGGACAGGTGGGACCCAGCCCAATTTTTGGGTTCAATCCCGGGGATTTTGGGTCTCTCCTGTCAATTTGGGAGGGAAATTTTCCCCAATTTTTGAGCGAAATTTTCCCAATTTTTGGGACAATTCCCCCAATTTTTGGGTTCAATTTTCCCAATTTTTGGGTTCAATTACCCCAATTTTTGAGGATCAATTTTCCCATTTTTTGGGTTCAATTCCTTCAATTTTTGAGTGAAATTTTCCCAATTTT